TGATCAGATAATTCAGACACATGGTACCCAATTCAAATGGTCAAAAGGGCATTAAATAACTTTAAAAGTATCCTGGGTTCTTTAGCAATAACAACCATTCTGGTTGAGGTGAAGTCTAGGAAACTACAAGTACTACAATGGGCATAAACTTGGCTCACAAGAAAATAACTTTTTCTCACAAGAATTCTTAAGAGTCCTTTAGAGATTAAGAAAGGCCCAGGCTACCATTTTTTTGAGGAGATATACACATATATATTTTTTTAAATGCCCAAACAGGGTAACAAATATTGTACGATATATTTTATAATGTATTTTATGTTTTTGCACTTAACCAATTTAATAATTCTAACACAAAATAATCCCAAACAATGTAATGGTGCAATTCACTATAGATAATGTAACAAGTCCTAACGTAGGTTTTTCCAATGATGAAGGTACTATTCTGGGCACATTAGAGACACATTAGAGAACAGAACAGACAAAAATCTCTGCCCTCATAGAGCTTGCCTTCTAGGTGGGAGGAGATAGACAATAAACAATAAATATAATAAACAGCTAATTCCACGGTATGGTAGAGGTGAAAAGTTTCCATGAGCAAAAACGTAGAGTGAGATAAAAATATTGGGGGGAGGGTGGGGTGGAACTATAATTTTAATGGGGTGGGCAGGTTAGGCCTCCTTGGGAAGGTGACAGTTAGCTGAAATCTTGAAGAAGAAAAGGACTAAGCCATACGGATATCTGGGGGGAAATCACTTCAGGTAGAGGGCACAGATGTTGCAAAGGCCCTAACATGTAACCACACTGGCATGTTTTAAGAATAGCAAAGACAAATGTCTAGAGAGACATGTGTGCAAGGGAGACTATTAGGAGATGAAGTAAAGAAGTACAGGGGGGCCCAGATGATACAAAGCCTCTTGGGCACCATTAGCTTTCATTCAGAGAAATGGGAAGTCATTGGAGGAATTGGACTTTAACATGACTTTAACATGATCCCTCTGGCTGCCATGATGAGAACTGACCTTAAGAGGCAAGAATGAAAGTAGTGAGACCAGAAAAGAGCCTAATTAAATAATCCATGTGAGAGTTTATGGGGGTTTAGGTCAGGATGATAGCATAAGTGGTAAGAAATGGTTGTACTTGAACATACTCTGAATGCAGAGCCAGCAGGATTTGATGACAGAATGGAGAGGGGTGGAGGCTGTATGAGAGAAAGACAAGGGTCATGGAAGATGCCAAACCAAAGACTAAGAGGTGAAAGATGGAAGGCTGGGTAGGTTTGGAATAGAAGGTAAGGAGCTAAGTTTGAATTTGATAAGACTGAAATGTATATCAGTCTTAAATACAGATGTCCTGTGGGTGGTTGGGCACAAAGTTCTGGAGCTCAGGGAAGAGGTCTCAGCTAGAGATACTTGGGGAGTTATTAGCATGCAGTGGTATTGAAAGCTATGAGAGTGGATGAGATTGCCATGAGAGAGTGAGTGTAGAAAAGAGGAGCAGGTCGGGGCGCCTGGGTGGCACAGTCGGTTAAGCGTCCGACTTCAGCCAGGTCACGATCTCGCGGTCCGTGAGTTTGAGCCCCGCGTCAGGCTCTGGGCTGATGGCTCAGAGCCTGGAGCCTGTTTCTGATTCTGTGTCTCCCTCTCTCTCTGCCCCTCCCCCGTTCATGCTCTATCTCTCTCTGTCCCAAAAATAAATAAACGTTGAAAAAAAAAAAAAAAAAAGAAAGAAAAGAGGAGCAGGTCAAGGTCCAAGCCCTGGAGGCCTCTATTATTTACAAGCTAAAAGGACCGGGGAGAGAACCCCTGGACACAAGAGGCAAATCTGGGCACTGTGGAGTCACAGAAGCCAAGTGAAACAAGTGTTTCCAGGAGGTAGGAGCAAGTCCTATTTTGCCAATAGTTCAAGAAAGATAGAGTCCAATAACCATTGGACTGACAATGTGGAGGTCATTGTTGACCTTGACAAAGGCAATTTCTGGACAGTGATTGGAACAAGAATTTATCTAAAGAGGGTTTAAGAGAGAATGAGGGGAAAGGAACTGATACCATGCCCTTCTGTAAAGTGGAGCAGTGAGTTGGGACAACAGTGAAGGGGAAGAGTCCCTGAGAGGGATTTTCAAGATGGGAGAAATAACAGCACATCCATTGGGGCACCTGGGCTCTATCCCTCCCTGCCCTGAAGGCATTGTATGAACTTATATTACAGTAAAGATGAAATACTTAGGGAAACTCCACAAATTTTAGATATCCTTGATATTCTAAGTCAGAATCCAGGAAATATTATGTATTTCAAATTTCAAGTTTGTTCGGATAGCCAGATTGGGTTTGTGGTTTTTTGTGGGTTTTTTTTTTTGTTTGTTTTTTTGTTTTTTTTTTTTTTTGGCAAAAAGCCTATAAAACTGTAACCATGAGTCCTTGCTTCAAAATTAGGACCAGTTCTGCATTTTTCTGAGGATTTATGGGGAAAGACTAATTTTAGTTTAAAGTAATTATTTTAAAAGCATACCTTCTTGGGACACCTGGGGTTAAGCATCCGACTTTGGCTCAGGCCATAATCTCTTTGTCCGTGAGTTCCAGCCCCACGTCGGGCTCTGTGCTGACAGCTCAGAACCTGAAGCCTGCTTCTTCAGATTCTATGTCTCCCTCTCTCTCTCTGCCCCTTCTCCGCTCACTCTCTGTCTCTCAAAAATAAATAAACATTTAAAAAAATGTGAAAGCATACCTTCTTGATTAAGGCTGGCAGGGCTGTAGTCCCAACTCCCACATGAATTAGCTGTGTCATTTTGTCAGTTACACAATCTCTCTGGGCTTCAGTTTCCCCATTGACAAAAAAGTTAGTAATCATACTTCATGCATAGGATTACAATGAGGATTAAATAAAATAATACTTTAAAACAGAACAGTGCCTGGATGTGGCCAATAATAAAAGTTCTTCACTCCTCGTAATCCTGTATTCCCAATGAGCAGTGAGTAAATCACGTTTTGGTGTATTTTAATTACACTGGAGAAGCCATTTAGTAAGATAAAATTTTGGCATACAAATAAATGACTTCTTAGTTGATCTGCTTAATTTTTAAAAACTGTGCTTTTCCGGAGCTCCTGGGTGGCTCAGTTGGTTAAGCAGCGGACTTCGGCTCAGGTCATGATCTTGCGGTCCGTGAGCTGGAGCCCCGCGTCGGGGTCTGTGCTGACAGCTCGGAGCCTGGAGCCTGTTTCAGATTCTGTGTCTCCCTCCCCTGTTCATGCTCTGTCTCTCCCTGTCTCAAAAATAAATTAACGTTAAAAAATAATAATAATAATAAAATTAAAAAAAAATAAAAACTGCTTTTCCACAAAGGCCTTCTTGGGGACTATGACAGTCCCTGTCAGTAGGTGGCACCTGAGTGGCTCCAGGACAGCGGAACAAGGAGGCTTCCAGAGCATCTGACCCAGCAGCAAGCGGTGCACTAGCTGTCACATGGATTCACACGGAAGGTTAATGTGTCCTCTCAGGAATTCACAGAATGTTTCAAAATGTGTTTGCCAATATTCAAAAATCAGATTTCTTATAAAAAACTGATTCCTGGCCTCTGAGTAAATTGGAAGATCTGGAAAGTCCAGGCCTGTGGTGGTGTCTCCTTCAGGCTGGGCGGTTATCTGCCAGTCGGGTGCAGACCGCCCCCCCCCCCCAGCCCACCTGCTTCTCTCCTCTGTCTCCCCTTAGTTCCTCCAGGCATGTGAGTTTGTAGCCTCTGACTAGTCCAATCCTTCCCTTTTCAGATGTGGAGGCTGAAGTCCTAGGGAGAAGTCGAGGGTTGGTACTGGAATCCCTACTCTCAGGCCAGGATGCTTTTTTTTATACCTTGTGTTGTTTCTTTTACATTTGGTTGTGTTTGGAGAAGGACTGGAGCTAAAACATGTAAGCCATACTGGGAGAACTGAAATTTGGAGACTTGGGGGCACTGCTGAGATGATTAAAATGAGGTGTGGGAACAAGTAGAGGTCATTGGATTCTTTTTCTTTTCTTTGTGAAAGATGACCTCATTGTATTTGGGGGGAAAAATATATGTTCAGTGCAAAAGATTCAAACAATACAGACAAATACACAGAAGAGGAAAAAGATTCCCCCAAATTCCACTTTCATTTATAACTTCCATTTACATTTTGGTAGATATCCTTCCAGCCCTCTCCCTGTGTATTTATAGATCTACTTAACATAGGCACTGGATGGGCCAAGGAAGGCCTGGGAGTGTGGGGCTTTCGCATTCATCAGTGGAGCTTTAATCCTTCATCAGTTTCCCTTCAACCAATTCTATGATGCGGCCAACTGGGGGTTTCTTTAATCATAATAAAGTGCCATGCAAATGCAGCGTTAGCCTGTTTGTTCACCCCAACTCCCTTCCAATCAGACTGTTATTCAGCTCACTCACATAGGTAGAAATTCTATATGAAAATTCTGGAGCTGCCACAGTTCAAAATTTGTTTGAAATTTTCCTAAAGGAGAACATCCAAGTTGTTCTGTAAACTGTTTTTTCCACTAATAGTATTCCTAGAATATCTGTCCCTAGTTTATAAATACAGATTTTAAAAAATACATATCTCACCTTCCAGAACATCCTTAGCAACCTCAAGATAAGCTAATTGGTCTCTCTCTCTCTCTTTCTCTCTTTAAGTAGGCTTCACACCCAGCAACAAGCCCAATGACACAGGGCTTGAACTCATGACCCTGAGATCAAGACCTGAGCAGAGGTGAAGAGTTGGACACTTAACTAACTGAGCCACCCAGGTGACCCTTAGCTAGTTGTTCTCTTAAACAGACTTTGCTCCATCTGATTGGTGACTGGAAAGATGGGGCCCACCTAACTGGCACCTAGAGTGCAAATTGTCAAGTCTGTATGATTGCTCATGGTAGGCGTGAATAGGAACAGTTAGTTTCTCAATGATTCTATTGGTCAGGTTTTGCTGCAAAAATGTTCTATAACAAACAAGCCCCAACCATCAGTGATTTACAATGACAGATACTTTTTTTCTCTCACTGGTCTGTGTGCTGCACGTGGGTTGGCCAGGCTTGCGTTGGTCTTAGATTCTGGTCTGCTCCACTTGATTCCCTTCCAGGAGCCCGGCTGATGGCGCAATGGCTACCTGGCAGAAATGCACAAGGTTAAGCCAAATTTCATAAATTCACATACAGCCTCTGGTGAGACATGGCATATGTTACATCCACACACACTCTATAGACCGAGTCCAAAGTGAGTGACATAGAGAACTGTACTTTATCTATAGTATACCATGGCAAAGGTGGAAAAGGAACAAAGAATTGTAAACAAAAAAATACCACCTGTCACAGGAACTAACCATGATGGAATGAAATTTAGATTAAGACATACCTTGAACCTTACTTTTTTTTTAATGTTTATTTATTTTTGAGAGAGAGTGTAAGCGGAGTAGGTGCAGAGAGGTGGGGGACAAAGGATCCAAGCAGGCTGACAGCAGAGAGCCCAATGTGGGGCTCAAACTCGCTGACCATGAGATCATGACCTGAGCTGAAGTCGGACCCTCAACCAACTGAGCCACCTAGACGCCCCTACTCTTGAGTCTTATAAGTGCAGTTTGAACCCACACTGCTTGAGAATCACAACAGTTTTGTCTAGTATGTTCCTTAATCAAAGACCTTTTGTCATTGGAGATCCATAATGAGAGTCGTCTCTGATCATACTCACTCTGCCTTTATGTTTTACATGCTCTATGCTCTTCTATCTATGCTTCTAATGCTCTTTAGAGTTATGCACTCGGGTCTTTAACAAAGAAAAAGATTAAACTGCCCTATCAGTTTCTGAATGTAGAGAGAAGTATTTTCTCCTTTGTCTTTCCCTGTCAAAGTTGTACCAATCAGCAAAAAATACATTTTCCTATGAATAAAAACAAAGAGAACTGTTGCCAGGCAACAAATAACAGCATTATTTTTATATTTGTTTTGGAAGGTATAGCATCTTGCTCCACTGTTTCCATGGAGAATCCCAATTGTCAAGATTAATTAAATGCTGGGAAATTGAAATGTATGCAAACAGGCCAGCTTAGTAAGCAATCACCTATGCTCCAGGGTAGGAGAAATATTTAGATAAAACCTCTTCCCACAAATGAAGTGTTATCCCCTGGCATCAAATGACTCAAGTTAATGCTTTCATGTGTGTCGACTGCTTTTCTAAAGGTACTGCAAAAATATTTCATTAAAATCACAAATTACATGTGTACCATTTCCAGGATAAATCACCACTGGATGTTTAGAATGCGTATGAACTGCATCAGAATAGTACAGGAAAGAGATAACCAATGGTTGTAAACAAGGTGCCTCTATTTTGTTAGCATGTCGGCAATGTGCCAACGTGGAAAGGTCTTCCCAGTAAATCGATAAGACAGGATATCCAAGATCATTCAGAAGAAGTGAAGGAAATGAAGGGAGGGCAGAGTTCAGAGAGTAGTCCTATCAGATATTAAAACATGAAAAATAAAGAGAGAAACGTGTGGTTCTGATGAAAGAACAGACAGCCAAGTGGAATGGGATAGGTAGGGATACTGATTTAAAAAAAGACAAACAAAAACATACAATCAGGGCGCCTGGGTGGCTCAATCTGTTAAGCGTCTCGACTTTGGCTCAGGTCATGATCTCACCTTTTGTGAGTTCCAGCCTCACACTGGGCTCTGCTATCAGCGTGGAGCCTGCTTTGGATCCTCTGTCTCCCTCTCTCTGTGTCCCTCCCCTCCCTCCCAACTCAAAAATAAACAAACGTTTACAAAAAAGACATACAATTAATTGTGTAATAGAAGATATACAAATAACCAATAAGTACATGCAAAGATGCTCACCATCACTGGCCATCAGGAAATCAAAACCACAATGAGATACCACTCCACACCCACTAGGAAGTCTGTAATAAAAAAGAAAATAATGGGGCGCCTAGGTGGCACAGTCGGTTAAGCGTCCGACTTCAGCCAGGTCACAATCTCGCGGTCCGTGAGTTTGAGCCCCGCGTCAGGCTCTGGGCTGATGGCTCAGAGCCTGGAGCCTGTTTCTGATTCTGTGTCTCCCTCTCTCTCTGCCCCTCCCCCGTTCATGCTCTGTCTCTCTCTGTCCCAAAAATAAATAAAAAACGTTGAAAAAAAATTAAAAAAAAAAAGAAAATAATGAGTATCGGCAAGGATGTGGAGAAATCATTAACACTGTTGGTGGGAATGTAAACAGTGCAGCCTGTTTAGAAAACAGTTTGGTAGTTCTTCAAAAGATAAAATATAACTGCTTGATCCAGCAATTCCACTCCTGGGTATATCCTCAAAAGAAATGAGAACATACGTCCACACAAAAACTTGTACGCAAATGTTCGTAGCAGCATTATTCATAATAATGCAAAAGTAAAAACAACCCAAATATCAACTAATGAATAGATAAATAAAATGCACCATATCTACACAATGGAGTATTCTTTGGTGATAAAAAGAAATAAAGTAAATAAAGGACTAATACATGCTACTTCCTGGATGAACCTTGAAAACATTATGCTGTTTAAAGAAGCCAGTTACCAAAAGCCACTTATTATGTGACTCTTATATGAAATGTCCAGAATACAAAAATTTATAGAAATAGAAAGTAGATTAGTGGTTGCCTAAGGCTGGGGTGGTTGAGAAATAAAGGGGGGGGGGGGTGGCTGCTAAAGGATACAGGGTTTGCTTTGTGGGTAAGGAAAATGGTCTAAAATTGTGGTAATGGTTGCACAACTCTGTGAATGTACTAAAAACCAATCAGTTGTAAACTTGAAGCATGTGATTTGTATGGTAAGTGAATTATATGTCCATAAAGGTATTGCAAAATAGTAATTGGGAAAAGGAAGGATATTGCTTTGGAAAATGGGTTAGCAACTTGAAAATAAAATTAGCTTAGACTTTAATCAGTATTAAACTTAAAATCATTTCCAAGCAAGCCAGAGTTAAACAATGGAGTGCCTGGGTGGCTCAGTTGGTTGAGTGTCCAACTCTTTACTTCAGCTTAGGTCATGATCCTAGTGTCGTGGGGTCGAGGCCCATGTTGGGCTCCATGCTGAGTGTGAAGTCTGCTTGAGATTCTCTCTCTCTCTCTCTCTCTCTCTCTCTCTCTCTCTCTTTCTCTAAAAAATTAATTGATTAGTTAATTAAAAAAATAAAATTAAGGGGCGCCTGGGTGGCTCAGTCAGTTGAGCGTCTGACTTCGGCTCAGGTCATGATCTCACAGTTTGTGATTTCAAGCCCCATGTTGGGCTCTATGCTGTCCGCACAGAGCCTGGAGCCTGCTGTGGATTCTGTGTCTCCCTCTCTCTGTCTCTTCCCCTCCCCCACTCATGCTCTGTCTCTCTCACTCTCAAAAATAAATAAATATTTTAAAAAATTAAAAATATATAAAATTTAAAAATTTTAAGACAAAAAGGTAGAAGAGGAAAACTGGATATCCACAAGCAAAAGAATGAAGTGTGGTCCTTACCTTAATTAAGTCAAAATGGATGAAAGATCTAAATGTAAGAGCTAAAACTATGAAACTCTTAGAAAAACATATAGTGGAAAGGCTTCATGACAACTGGATATAACACCAAAAGCACAAGCAACAAAAGGAAAAAATAGATAAGTTGGACTTCATCAAAAGTAAAATATTCATGCATCAAAGGACACTGTCAGCAGAGTGAAAAGGCAACCCATTGAATGGGAGAAAATATTTGCAAATCATATCTGAGAGAGGATTAATACCCAGAATATATAATGAACCCCTAAAACTGAACAACATGAAATCCTGATTTAAAAATGGGCAAAGGAGGGGCGCCTGGGTGGCGCAGTCGGTTAAGCGTCCGACTTCAGCCAGGTCACGATCTCGCGGTCCGTGAGTTCGAGCCCCGCGTCGGGCTCTGGGCTGATGGCTCAGAGCCTGGAGCCTGTTTCCGGTTCTGTGTCTCCCTCTCTCTCTGCCCCTCCCCCGTTCATGCTCTGTCTCTCTCTCTGTCGCAAAAATAAATAAAAACGTTGAAAAAAAAATTAAAAAAAAAAAAAATAAATAAAAATAAAAATGGGCAAAGGGGGCACCTGGGTGGCTTAGTTGGCTAAGCATCTGAGTCTTGATATCAGCTCAGGTCATGAACTCACAGTTCCTGAGTTTGAGCCCCATATCGGGGCCTGCGCTGACAGCACAGAGCCTGCTTGGGATTCTCTCTTTCCCTCTCTCTGCCTCTCTCCCAACCATGCACATGCATGTGTGCTCTCTCTCTCCCTCAAAATAAATAAATAAACTTAAAAAAATGGGCAAAGGACTCAAATAGACATTTCTCTAAAGAAGGTATATGACCAGTAAGCACATGAAAAAACGCTCAATAGCACTAATCATTAGGAAAATGCAAATCAAAACTACAATGTCATACACTTCATAGCCATTAGGATGGCAATTATCCAAAAATTTAAAAAACAGAAAATAACAAGTGGTGAAGATGTAGAGAAATTGTAACCCTTGCGCATTGCTGGTGAGAATGTAAAGTGGTACAGCTGCTGTGGAAAACAGGATGGTGGTTCCTCAAAAAGTTAACCATAGCATTATCATATGATTTAACAATTTCACTCTGCATATAGCCAAAAGAATTGAATAAATATTTGTACACCCATGTTCATGGCAGCATTATTCACAATAGCCAAAAAGTAAAAACAACCCAAATGTGCACTGATTAATGAATGGATAAACAAAAAATATAGTACATACATACCATGGAATATTATTCTGCCTTAAGAAGGAAGGAAATTCTGACACCTCCTACAGCAGGGATATAGGACCTTATGCTAAGTAAAATAGCCAAACACAAAAGAACCTGAAAAAAAATTTTAAATCCTAAATCCTGCTGCTGTGCTATTGCAATATTATTACAATCATGGGTTGTTTTTTCTTCTACAGTCAAATTCTCCTCCCTGGCAAGCTGCAGACTTTTTTATTGGAGTTAAGCAATGTTTAGAAGGTGAGGTCAGACAATTACCTGTTTCAAAATTGGAAAGAGTTATGTTGAATGAAACACAAGATCCAATATACCTACTAGAAATATATGTGAACTGAAAAAACAAAAAGGAATCCAACAAGCTGTGGGTGAAGTTTCCTGTCCCTGAGAAATGAAAAGGATCGGTGGCCGCATACCAGCCTGGCAGCTGGCTATGAACCACCAGTGCTTTTGGAAGGAAGTTGCATGAATAGAACCTCCAGCAGTAAGTTCTTCTCACGGCTAGGGAGCCACAGGAAAAGGGAATCTTCTCTGGATCCTTCTTATGGGAGTCCGTAAGGGCCCATCACTGGCAGCAGGCAACACGAAACATGTTGATCATTCAAGAAGAATGACTCTGGACAGAAGATATGCGGCACAATAGCTCCGAGCAAAAAGTGAAACCTTGAATGTTCCCCAGGATCCACTGATGAAGTAAAAGGAAAGGCTCAGCACTTGACTAAGGTGGGACCAGAAGGAACCAGCCATCGATCTCCTCTAAAATATTCCCTGCCACGTGTGATGGACCAGATTCTGCTCTAAAGAAAAAGAAAAACTGGAGACAGGATCCTAGGTGGTCTCAAATATATGTACCACAGGCTCACTGGAGACTTTAATGGAAGACCCAGAGGGACTCAAATGCCTTTTTTAGACAATCTGCAATTCTTCCACCTGCTGGATACTTCTTGGGCCAACAAATACTCAGGGCTAAGTGTTTTGGTAGTGATTTAGCTGTTGACACCACTTTTTTTTTTTTTTAATGTTTATTTATTTTGGAGACAGAGGGAGACAGAGTGCAAGTGGGGGAGGGGCAGAGAGAGAGGGAGACACAGAATACAAACAGGCTCCAGGCCCCGAGCTCTCAGCACAGATCCTGACACGGGGCTCGGACCCACGAACTGTGAGATCATGACCTGAGCCAAAGTCGGATGCTTAACCGACTGAGCCACCCAGGCGCCCCTACACCACTTTCTGAGGATCAGTTTAACAATCTATTTTCCTAAAATTGAGATGGGGTTCAGTGAGGGAAAGGGAATTTTGAAGGGCACAGAAAAGAAGGCAGGGCAAGAGGAGGTCAGGAAATGAGAGGGAGGATAGAAAGAAAGATGTTCAGAGGGGGACATTTGAAAATAGGACCAGGAAGGAAGTTGGGAAGAAAAGGCAAGATGGGATATGGAAACGGTGGGGAAAAAAGATTTTTGTTCAAATGGACCTGCCTTACGACCCTCACACAGCAAGAATATTATTCAAACCTTGACTTGTGTCTATCACATTAGACTTAATGTGGATAGACTTAATGTGGATAGACTTAATGGAGCCTGGATCCCATAGTGTCTAAAGTTGTATCAGATCTACAGAAAATAGATTTCTGTGTCTTTTAGCTAGACAAATATTTCAGTCCATAAATGTATTGTTTTCACTTATATGATACGAAAACAAAAACAAAAATCTTGTTTGACCTCATTTTTTTCCTCATAAAATAAATGTGATTTTCCAAAGGTCCAGGCATCCATGATGGTCTAGAAACTGTCACAAACCTGGATGATAGCAGAAACTGGCTTTGAAGCAAAAGGGATACATCTACACCAAACAGCTTAAACAATCTGGAAAAAGTACAAAGTTGGAGAATTCAAACTTCCTGATTTAAAAACATATTACAATGCTACAGTAATCAAAATAGTGTGGTATTGGCATAAGGATAGACAACAGACCATGAATAAACCTAAATATTTGTGGCCAAATGATTTTCAACAAAGGTGTCAAGACCATTCAATGGGGGAAAGGATAGCCTCTGCAGACTGGATATCCACAAGCAAAAGAATGAATATGGATCCCTATCTCACACCATATATAAAAATTGACTCCAGGGGCGCCTGGATGGCTCAGTCAGTTAAGCATCTGACTTCGGCTCAGGTCATGATCTCTCAGTTCATGAGTTCAATCCCCACATTGGGCTCTGTGCTGACAGCTCAGAGCCTAGAGCCTGATTTGGATTCTGTGTGTGTCTCTCTCTCTGTCCTTCCCCTACTTGCTCTCTCTCTCTCAAAAATAAATAAACATTAAAAAAATTTGTTTTTAAATCTTTAAAAAAAATTAACTACAAATGGATCTATGATCTAAATGCAAGAGCTAAAACCACAAACCCTTAAAAGAGAAAAAGGGATAAATCTTTGGGACCCTGGGATTTGGCAATGGATTCTTAAATATCACACCAAAAGCACCAGCGACAACAACAAATTAGATAATTTGGACTTCACCAAAATCAAAAACTTCTGTGCCTCAAAGAATGTTATCAAGAAATAAAAAGACAACCTAGAGAATGGGAGGAAATATTGTGTGACAAGAGGCTAGTATCCAGAATATATGAAGAACTCTTATGATCCAAAATTAGAAAGACAACCCAATCTTAAAATGAGCAAAGGACCTAGACATTTCTCCAAAGAATATGTACAAACAATCAACAAACACACAAAATGATGTTCAACATTATTAGCCATTAGGGAAATGCAAATCAAAACCACAATGAAGTACCACTTCGTACCCACTAGGATAGCTGTTAACAAAACAACAACAGCAAACAAACAAAAAATAAACAGAAAATAACAAGTGTTGGCAAGGATATAGAGAAGTTGGAACTTTGTACTTGTACTTTGTGGTAGGAATGCAAAATAGCTCAGACCCAGTGGAAAACTGTCCATTCCTCAAAAAAGTTAAATACAGAAATTTTACTCCTAGGTATAGACCCAAAAGAATTGAAAACAGGCACTAAAACAGGTACATGAAACATGTACCCACTCATAACAGCACTATTCATGATAGCCAATAAGTGGAAACAGCCCAAATGCCCATCAACAGATGAACAGATAAACAAATTTTAGTGTATACATACAATGAAATATCACTCAGCCATAAAAAGAAATGGAGTGCCGATACGTGCTACAACATGGGTGGATGACCACCAACACACTATATACTAAGTGAAAGAAGCCAGACACAAATGGTCATATATTATATGATTCTATTTTTTTTGAAATATCAAGAATAGATAAATTCACAGAGACAGAATGCAGGTTGGTGGTTTCCAGGAACTGGGGATAGGGCAGGGGGGAGAGGAGACCGGGGAGAGGAGACCAGGGAGAGTACCTGGTGGACAAAGGGTTTTACTTTAGAGCGAAGGAAATTTATTACCAGTAGACAGAGGTAGTGGTTGTGCAATATCATGAATGGACTAAATGCCACTGAATTTTTCACTTTAAAATAGTTAATTTTATATAATGGAAATTTTACCTCAATATATATTTTTAAAAAGGGAAATATCCATTACAAATCACATATTGCATATTTTACCCTGAAACGTTAGAGCCAGTATCTGACTACAACCTATTAGCCTGAATTGTCAAAACTCTTTGATTTCATAAACTTGATTGTCTTTTCTCCTCATGCCACTTCAGTTCTTCCTAGGTCTCTGTGAGAGATTAGAATCACTATGGACACAATCCAGGGAAAGTGGGAGGGGAAAGACTTCTTGGTAAGGGCATTACTGACTGCTGGCCACATTATCAGTAAAATCTCTGTGATTCTATAAGTTTAATGACAAACTGAACCCCAGAATGAAGTTTCATAAGTACAACTTCATAAATATGACATCTTGTATAAATGTAAAATTGTATGAGTATAATGGCATTCTATATTACCTAAGACATTCTGTCAGGATGTCCATAAATTACTTTAACATGCTGTGACCTAAGGTGTGATGTATCAGGTTGAACCATGAAAAACGGCAGATGTTCACATTTTTGCCCTACAAATTTGGCCATTTCATATGGTTAGACCTAACAACTACATGCATTAGCATTGATCTACAACCTGTGGAACCTTAGCCTTAGTTACACTTAAGGAAGGCATTGAACCATTTGATCAGAAAGTCCACACTTAGTGAGTTTAGTTTTAGACACATTGGGTTGGAAGTACTGTACCTGCAGAATATCCAAGGGGAGTTATTCAGGAGGCCATTGGGTATAAGGCGCTGGAGCTTCAGAGAAAGACTTAGGCTGGAGACTAAGTTCTAGAAAAATCAGCACAGATTTGGTAACTGGAGCTGTGGGATTAGACGAGCTTTTTCAGAGAAAGCCTTCACATGGCCCTGTTGAAAAAGGCAAAGAAAAAAAAATCCAATTGTCTCTAGATACACAATTCACCGATCTGGCAAGGTAGTAAACTTAGCGAGTGACTCATATTTTCTTTGAAATGTTCTTACGTTTTTAATTTCCAATAAATCTAATTGCCTAAGCTACCAAATTGTCCATGTGATAAATTACATATATGTCATTCTGAGAAGGGCACCCAAGTGTTAACAGTAGCTGTGGCATAGATTCATAGGAGCCCCCTACAATCTTTCTTTTCTTCTTCTTCCTTAGTAATAGGTACTTTGATATTTAACTTGGCACATTGGTGTCCAAATTACTAATTCAACCCCAACAGAACTATATCATTAGAGGTCTATTCAGATTTTCCATTTCTTCTAGAACTAGTTTCAATAGTTTGTGTCTTTCTAGGAATTTTTCCATTTCATCTTGGTTATCTAATTTGTTCAATACAATAGTCCATAGAATTTCCAATACTTTTTATTTATGTTAGGTCTGTAGTAATGTCCTCTCTTTTATTCCTGATTTTAGTAATCTGAGTCTTCTTTTCTTAGTCTAGCTGAAGAATTGTTGATTTTGTCTGTCTTTTCAAAAAACCAACTTTTAGTTTGGGTGATTTTATGTGTTATTTTTCTATTCTGTATTATACTTATTTCTGCTTTAATCCTTATTATTTCCCTCCCTGCTTGCTTTGGGTTTAATTTGCTCTTCTTTTTCTAGTTTCATAAGGTAGAAGGATAGAAAATAGATTTGATACTTTTCTGTTTTAAAAATGTAGGCTATAAGTTTAAAAATGTAGGCTATAAAAACTTACAGCTATAAGTTTCCAACTATGAGCACTGCTTTATCTGAATCATATGTTTTAGAATATTGTGCTTTCATTTACATTCATCTCAAAGTCTTTTCTAATTTCACTAGAAATTAGTGAAAGAGTCAATTTCTTTGACTCTTTATTCATGTTAATTTCCACATATTTGTGAATTCCACAAAAGTTCTTCTGTTGAATTTAATTTCATTCCATTGCAGTTGGAGAAGATACATTGTAAGAGGTCAATCCTTTAAAATTTTTTGAGATGTGTTTTATGGCCTACCATATGTTCTAATCCTGGGGAATGGTCCATGTGCACTGGAGAAAAATTTGTATCCTGTTGTTGTTGGATGGAGTGTTCTATAGTTGTCTATTAGGCCTAGTTGGTTTATAGTGTTGCTTAAGTCTTTTACTTTTCTTTTCAACCTTAAGTCTTCTATTTTCTTATTGATCTTCTGTCTAGTTGTTTTATCCATTATTGAAAGTAAGGTGTTGAAGTCTCCAACTATTACTGTTGACTATTATTGTCTATTTTTCCCCTTCAATTCTGCCAGTTTTTGGTTCATTTACTTTTTGAATATGTTGTAAGGTGAATATATATTTATAATCACTAGGTCTTCTTAGGGACTGACTCTTTGATCATTAGAAAATAGTCTTCCTCATTTCTAGTAACAATTTTTATCTTAAAGTCAATTTTTTCTGATATTAGTATAGCCTTTGCAGCTCTCTTTTGGTTACTCCTTGCATGGTATATCTTTTTCCCATCCTTTTGCTTTCAACCCATTTGAGTCTTTGAATCTAAAGTGTCTCTTGTAGATATAATCCAACATAGTTAGATCCTTTTTTTAAAATCCATTCTGCCAATCTCTGCCTTTGATTGGAGTATTTAAATCATTTACATTTAATTTTATTAAAATTACTAGTAACAAAGAAGTTATATCTGCCATTCTGCTATTTGTTTCCTATTTGTCATGTATTTTTTGTTTATTCCTCCATTATTACCTGATCTTGCATTAAATATTTTTTACTGTACCATTTTTATTCCCTTGTAGTTTTTTTTAGTGTGTGTGTGTGTGTATATATATATATATATATATATATATATATGTGTATATATATATATATTTAGTCATTTTATCAGTGGTTGCCTTGAAGACTAAAAGTAACATCTAAACATAATAATCTAGTTTGTACTAATAGCAACTTAATTTCAATAGTATACAGAAACGTTTCTCCTATATAAGTTCATTCTCTCCCACCTCCCCTGTGCTATTATTGACATACAAATACCTTGTTTTACATTATATGCCCAATGACCTGTATTTATAAGCATTGCTTTATGCAGTTGTCTTTTAAATTAGATGGCAGAAGAAAAGGGCTTCAAACAAAAGTTACATTTATACAGTCTTTTATATTTACCTATGTGTTGTTACCTTTGCCAGTGGGATCTTTGTTTCTTCATGTGGGAAGAGGGAGATGTAAATAGGGTAAAATAAAATGCCCCAGAGTTCATTGTTCTTACCTTGATTCAGCAACTTTTCTTGGATAAATGCTTCTTGGATTATTCCAAGTCTTTGATTTATATCCAGCATTCTGAAAAACATCTTGACAATTTTTGCCTGTGTTCTCATTACTTTTATGGAGAAATGGATTCTTAGAGATCTTTATTTTGCCATTCCCACTGATGTCACTCTAGTGCCTAGCTAAAAGTTCTGTATTCCCTATCTTTCCTTGTAACTATTGTGACTGTGTGACTAAGTTTTGGCCAATGAGTTATAAAAAGTAATGTGCGTGCTTCTGAGGAAACCAACTCGAAAGACAGCTGTCATGTGCCCTTTGCTCCCTTCTTGTTCCCTTCCTCCAATCTGCTACCTGGAATATGAAATAAAGCTGGAGCCCTGGCAGCTATCTTGGACCATGAGAATGAGGGCCACACCCTAAGAATGGTGAAGTGGACAGCTATAAATAGCTGTGGCATGATGATTTTAGAGCCACCAGATACAGGCCACCAGCCTGTTTCCAGATATATTAGATAAATATGTAACTTAGATAACTTTGTTTCAGTTACTATTATTATTTTTTTTTTAATTTTTTTTCAACGTTTTTTATTTATTTTTGGGACAGAGAGAGACAGAGCATGAACGGGGGAGGGGCAGAGAGAGAGGGAGACACAGAATCGGAAACAGGTTCCAGGCTCCGAGCCATCAGCCCAGAGCCATCAGCCCAGAGCCTGACGCGGGGCTCGAACTCACGGACCGCGAGATCGTGACCTGGCTGAAGTCGGACGCTTAACCGACTGCGCCACCCAGGCGCCCCTCAGTTACTATTATTTTTAATATTCTTACCCCTGATACTTGCAGCTGAAGTTAATTCTGACCCCTAGAGTACTTATCATTGGATTGTAGGAATATTATCTGCTTTTACTTTTTTAAAATATGTTTTATATTCTCTGGTTTTTCCTTAGTAGCATTTATTATTTTATGTGAGAAAAAAGCTATTTACATGTAAATAAATATACAGTGATACTAATGTATATGCTAAAACATATGTATATGAATTTAATGTATAAAATATATATATATAATATATAAAAATATATATGTCACATTTGTGTGTGTATATCTATGTATATACATATGAACATACACATACATACATGTCCATCTTTTTATGTTTTGGAGGGTTGAAAATTGTCTTCGTTTACATGGTCATATATGAGATTGATGCATTTCCAAAGCAACTGGAATGCAATCACAACTAGTCAATCAAGTAAACCAAGAATTCTATCCCAACACTCTGGTTCAGTTGTTGGGGAGAGATGAGGATGAGTTAGAGCGGTGGGGATGAGATTACAGTTTGTGGGAGGGTGAATGGAGACTGGGGAAAGACTAGTGAAAGAAGGAGCACTGACACACATCAGCAAAACAAGATCTGAAACACACCCTCCTGTTTTTTGGAGGGAGACAACCTCAGGACCTAAAGACTAATGTTATTGCAATGTTCATATAACCTTTGCCTAGTGTTTTTCCCCGTCTTCTCTGACTACTACATAATTAAAACCAGGTAAGCCAGTTCTCCACCCAGAACCATCACAGTGGAGGCAGCCTGGAGTCACCTTGAAACAGAAACAGACACATGATTTAAGCTACATGATTGCCACACTTACCTGCTGGGTAAAATATAAGAGTAAATGGTTTAGATGGGATTAGAAACAAAAGACCAGAATAAGTACTTCTTTTTTTTTTTTTTTTTTTTTTTAATTTTTTTTTTTCAACGTTTATTTCTTTTTGGGACAGAGAGAGACAGAGCATGAACAGGGGAGGGGCAGAGAGAGAGAGGGAGACACAGAATCGGAAACAGGCTCCAGGCTTTGAGCCATCAGCCCAGAGCCCGACGCGGGGCTCGAACTCACGGACCGTGAGATCGTGACCTGGTTGAAGTTGGACGCTTAACCAACTGCGCCACCCAGGCGCCCCAGTACTTCTTTAATCTGTTTTGAAAAATAAGAATTTAAGCCTCTCTCTGAAACTTTCTATCTAGCAATAGAATGACTGAGTCTTTTATGTTCTCTTTTCCTAGTATTGTTTTTAATCAGCCAAATACACATAAATTTTAAAAATAATATTAAAAAGTTCAAAATCATCCCTCCTTGCCCTCAGTCCTACTCTCTAGAGCCAACTGCTTTCAATACTTTTGTTTATTCTTTGATTGGTTGCCTATTTCTAAACAATATGTTTATTACATTAATATTTGATTTATCATATTTAAATGTTTTTAACATTTATTCATTTTTGAGACAGAGAGAGAGAGAGAGAGAGAGAGAGCATGAGCCAGGGAGGGGCATAGAGAGAGGGAGACACAGAATCCAAAGCAGGCTCCGGCCTCTGAGATGTCAGCACAGAGCCCCACACAGGGCTCGAACTCACAAACCGTGAGATCATGACCTGAGCTGAAGTCGGCCACTTAACTGACTGACTGAGCCACCCAGGCACCCCATGATTGATCATATTTAGACACTGTCTATTGCTTTATGAATAAAGGAGTTTCAAGTTAGAAAAATAAAACCCTCATCAGATTATTTAGTATAGAAAATGTGATATGGCTATAAAGGGGTTGGAATTGTCATCCTCAATTCTTGGGGGGGGGGGGTGACTTTGCCCTCCCCCGCCAAGGAACATTTGGAATGTTCTGATGATGTCTGGAGATATGCTGTTGTCACAAGTAGGTAGAGGTTACTGGTATCTAATGGATAGAGTCTATGGATGCTGCTAATCATGGATGTTGCAGGACAGCCCCTGCAACAAAGAATCATCCAGCCCAAAATATCAATAGTGTTAAGGTTGAGAAGCAACTGTAGATTAGAAGACCTGTAAAGAGCCAGGGGGAGGGGGACAACACTAAGATTAGCAACTGCAGAAAGTCACTACCACTGCCAGAGCCAGTGGGTCAGTGGGAGAAGGCAGTGCTAACTAAAGCCATCACAGGAAGTAACAAACCAGGTAGGATGGCCTGGCAGTATCAGGGAATGTTCAGAGGAAAATAAGGACATAGAAGAGAAGCAGCTACTACCAGAGATGTTGCCCAAAGCAGAAAGAATGGGAAAGAAAAATATCCTGGCTTCTCCTTGGGAGCCCTCCAATCTCCTGGCACTTCCATGGGTTGAACTTAGCCGGAAGCCAGTCATTAAGGTCTGGGAAGCATAGCTCACAGGAATAGCCTTTGCAATAGAAGCCCAAAAGAGTGAATTAGAGAGCAAATAAGCATATTCCCAGCACACCTTTCTATCATGGAAGATGGTGATCAAGCTCTGATGGTCACTTCCTCGCTACCCTCCTCCTCTGTCTCTCTCCATATATATATATGGAGAGTATGTAAGTATGTACTCCATATAATACTTACATATACTTATATATATACACATATATATGTACATACACATATATATATATATATGAGCATATGCTTATATACTCTCTCACTTCCCTCAATACCGTCCTCTCTCTATAGATAGATAGATAGATAGAGATATATAGATATATAGAGAGAGAGAGAAAGAGAGAGAGAGGAAGAGAGAGAAAGAAAGCACACGAGGGAGAGGGAGAGAGGGAGAGAAGGGCAGTTTGTTGTCACAAACTGGGTGGAGATACATCTATATCCCTAACAATTTTTATTTAAGTTTATATTATATTTAGATCAAGAATGTAGAAATATTGTTTACACATTATTGTTAATCATAAGGTAGTGAATAATGTTTATTCATGTTATAAATCTTATTAATCAGTTATGCTTTCATTTTTTACAGCTTTTTGTTTTTCTTAGGATATCTAGAGTTAAAATAGCCTCTTTTTTGTTTGCTTAGTTTTCTATGCATGTATCATGAATTAGTCACAAACTCCCCCTTAGGTCTATAAGGCTCCCTTAATATTTTGTTTGGTACCTTTCCTCAAATGCATTAGAGAGTCTATCCATTTCTCTTTTTCTTTTCAGTGATCTCCTTCCTGTGATCCTCTTTCCCTTAGGTATATCCTTTGAATATATCCCTCAGTTTCCATATATTTTCCTTTTAGAGAAACTTTACCTCTTCTTACTCTGTCTGTTGGTATCTGTTAATTATATTACTGTCCCTAATGAGACAGTCACACGATAAATAATCACTCTCTTTCATCTGACCTGTCCCTATCCCAGAATTAGTGGTAGTCGCAGGATGCTTGTGCCAGTCTACAGATGGGAAACCCTGGACTTAGTAAATCAAGTCCAAGTGTCTTGCCCGTATTACTGTGGTAGTAGTAGACACTGCTGGTGCCCTGCCCTGAACCCCTGTATTGTGCTGCTGCCCCAACCTCAGCTACTGTAAGTGTTGCTGCTAATGGCTCAAACATATGCCTTTCCCTGGAGAAGAGAACTGTTCTTGGCCAATGGGAGCCACCTTATGAGGAGACTCCCGGGAGGCTATATCTTCCCTCCAGGCGTCATGCAGCCAATGATTAACTGATACGGGGATACAAAAGCCGAGCCCCCTCGCCTCAAAGAGGACAACTCTGGTATCATTCACACTCCAAAACTCCCCATGAGATCAGGCGTGAGTCAGACTTCAGCTGAAACCTCATCTTTGTTTAGCCACTTCCCCCACTCTATTTGCTTCCCTTACCTTCTTCCAAGTTTCCCCTGAAAGCACAACTTCAATGGGTGTCTTGAATAAGAACCCTGCCTCAGTCTCTCCTTCTGGAAACCCAATCTAAGACAGTGGTGAACGTCAGACACTTTTGGGCTTCCTAGCATGAACTCTCCCTTCCTGATAGCACCAGAGCTCCCTTTTGGGAGATGATCTCCCCGCCCCCCACCCCACTGTGAACAGTCTTGACAGGAATGAATCTAGGTACATGCTCTGTCATTGTGGAAGCTGTGGGGGCTTGTGGATGTTCCTTCCATTAGACCCTCCCTCTCACTGCTTTGGTACAGCAGGCCCAGGCATCTGATCTAAATTCAGCCAATTTGATGTTCTCTCCTGGGATTATGAATCTTGAGTGAGTAATACAAAGATAGAATGGCTCTTTGAGGTTCATTTATTCCATTACAGACTTCTGCGAGCCTGT